CCATGACATCAGTTCAAGAATTCCCATTTCGGCTTCTTGCGGGGAAAATCGGGAGTGAGCAACAGGCCTCCCAGGTCTTAGATAAAGTCCACCGTTGGGCCCTAAAAAACATGCTCAGCATTAAGTGGTCTGAGTAAACACGCCGCTATGCACTCTCAAACCAAAGAAAGCCCCCCCCCCCCCCCCCCCCCACCCCCCCTCGGCCAGCTGGTTTCAATAAGGCCGCCCCGCTCAGCTGAGAGGTCAGCGGCCCCCGGAGCCTGACCGGCCTGGATGTGGGGGCCTGATGGATTTACGCTGGACCAGAGCTAATAGAGCCATCAAAGGCCCCTTTGGTTTTCCAGCTTCCAGCGCTGGGAGAGGCTCACACGCCCCCCCCCCCCCCCCCCGGCAGGCCGGACGCAGCATCGTGGCTAAATCACGTCTGGAACGGACGCCGGCTTCCCCCACGTTGACGTCTGTATTACTTTCCCCACCTCTGACGCAGTCCCGCGCGCTGATTTAAAGCCTACGACACCCGCAGGGCTCAGTCATCAAAATCCAGAATTTAGCTGAACCCCCCCGAAGGCTCGGCCGGCCATAGTCAGTGAAATACGGCTGTTGTGTTGGTCTGCATCAGTGGTTCCAAACCTTGTTTGGCAACGACCCCAAAATACAAAGTGATCTATGGTTTGTGAGCTGTTCGACTGAGAGAAAAAAAAAGAAAAAAAAAGGCTTTCTGTTTTGCCTCCTTACAGATTGCAGATTGTTTGATTTCATTTTATTTAAACTTGTCTTTTCCTGGAATTCATAGAGACCCTCAAATCTACCCAATTTTCACCCAAACGAAGACAAGTCCTGGCTTATTTCAGACGTGGGGATGAAAACTCACCAAACATGTGGAAAACCTCACATGAGAAAGATTAACTAGCAAAGACACATACCGCAGATGAAACGCTCATTTCATGGCAAAATATTGAAAAAGGACGCTACCAATGTTTTAAAATGACAGGTTAAATATCCCTAAGCTTTTAACACTGGGCTCTACAGTTTGGAGATTATTTATCACCGACTATAGTCACAGAGGACAGGAAGTGAGCATATCAGAACCCAGATCTCTAAAATCTGGTTTAGGTATCCAAACCAAACTGTCTTCTGCATTCTGTTCTTAGGAAAGAGGAATTTGGTGCAGATATCTAACCAGAATTTCACCATTTATGGGGCTATAAAACTTAAGCAGCACATTTCACAAGTGATTTAGATCATTTTAAACAAATATAATAGAGATCGACTGTGTTACTTTTCTTTCCATGTTGCAAAACGATGAGAAAATATGCACCCAAATTGCGAAAAGCTCAGAGATTCACCAAAGACTCAGACCCCGATGCCAGGGAGGGCATCTCTGAATGAAGCAGAGCTGAGGCCAGATAAAAAACCTCCAACGGAGCTGTGCTGGAATCCCCTCCGCTCATAAATGTGCGTCTTTCATGCTGATCTAAAACCACAATTATGAGCTTAGGAGCCAAAATAACAGGGCTTGATTTTAAGCCCGTTCTAATCCGCTGTCAGATATTTCTTTCAATGAGATGAAATAACTGGGATCTGGACTGAGCTCCGTCCCCTTTTTATCCAACGCGTGATGCTACAGTGACGTGGTTTCTCTCAAAATCTTTGGGAAATCTTTAATTTTTCCGCACAGTTGTTTCTTATCTTTTGTTCTGACGTTTGTCTTGTTAGTCAAGCAGGGGGGGGGCATGAATCACCGCCATTACAGACTCTGTAAATTTTTTAGAAAACACACCCAAACTAGGGGAGTGTTGACTTAAGTCCTTCGTGTCTATTTCGGGGAAATTTAGAGATTTAAAGGGGAAAAAGGCTGTGACACATCCGTTCTGGATCCAGCTGCTGGAGAAGAATGGAGCCGCTTCTTTACTCATAATCATTTTTTTCTATTATTACCAGTTAATTATCGACTCGGAGAAAACTTCAATAATCCCATAAGGATTACACTCCTCTCTAATCATATAAAACTCAAAAACTCATATCATTCTTATAGGGATTCACTTAATTCAATATTTCTATAAATGAGCCATTGGTTAGATGGTCTTAAATGAAAAGGGAATCACAATGTCTGGGTACTTGGTACCTGTAAGTACACATCTCGTTCTGTAAAAACTTGTCTCGCACCACGGGTCAAATGCACTATTCATCCCGAGTCTTTGGCAGTGCGTCGGTCAGCGCCCGCTGGCCTCGGCCGGCCGGAGAGGGTTTCTGGTTTCTTACCCCGTACTTGCACTGGCGAGAGGAGCTCCCGTACTGGAAGCGGCACTGCTCGTCTGCGTCGTACACCTGCCCCGGGGCCATCGTCGGGTACAGGAAGTCTCGTTTAAGAGGCTCGTTGTCCAGACACGTCCCCCGACCTGAGCTGTCAAAAAAACAAACCTACATTAGGACTGTTTCCAACACTAAGCAACCCACACTCAACAGACATCGTAGAGGATTGTTTGATTTCTGGTATTGGGCATCAGAGACAAGATAAGGGAGGAAAAGGGAGCTTGGATCTGGCCCACAAAGACCAGAATTCCCTTGTTTTGCTGCTTCTGTGTCACCGATTGGGCAGAGTGCGTGGAAAAAATCCAAATAAAATGACCTGGAGTCATTTTGTGACCTGGATCTGCGGCTCATATGTTCACGCTTCAGAATATGTTTTAAAGTCAGATAGAATCTCCTCCTCTTCTGCTGCCTGAGTCAGAGGATTCTCTCTCCAGGCGCAATATTAGCCGGACTTTTTACTATAACTACGTGTTCTTTCCAGCTGTGGCAGCTGCGAGGTGCAGTGGAATGCTTCCCATCCCTCGAAAGGAAAAGTGGGCCTGGTGACAACAATAACATGGCGCTACACTATGATGAACACATTGCAACACGGGCCTCACGCTTTGAGACAGAAGAGGACTGTGTATTAAACTCAGGGAATGTAAATGAATGCATGTATGTGTGGTTGGTTAATGAACAGACAAAACTTTCTGGCTCTTCTGCAAACTGGAAATTCCTTTAAATCAATTATGAATGAAAAGAGATCGCAGTCTGGTGTGCGAATCGTCTATTCAAACTTGTTTTTGGTGGATTCGAAAATGTAATCCGATCTCTGTGAGTGAAGACGGGCTTTTTTTTCATTTTATTTCCCCTGGTGTTTTAAAAAGAGGAGCAAAACAAACAATAATCTCGACTGTAAAGGGAAGAAAAACCATCCCTTTTGTACTTTCCCTCCATCACAGAAATTGATTACACCAGCTTGTCCATACTATTGACTTTAGAAATGACTATATTATCAATTAAACGGTTATGGACAAACATGCAAATTCTAGAAAATGAAGCAATAAACATGCATCGAAAAAGCTGGTTGACTCCATAGCTAGCCTCCTCCCCTTGCCTCTTTCACTTCAGGCTCCACCTGTCAACAGTTTCCAATAAAAACTGATGAATACAAGTTTTTCTTTTTTTTTTTGTCTGCCCCTTTAAGACTGCAGGATCTGAAGGGCCAATTAAAACTTACTGCAGATGTTAAGTAGCCAATCACAGCAATGCATTGCATTTCCAGTGAAGCATGAAGGAAATTTTGAACTTCAAATTGCGTCAAAAGTCACATCAAACAACTTTATTTCAGAAACTGAAGGGAACATGACAAATTTGATGTAACCGGTAAGGGAGCCTCTCTTTTAGCCCATTTCCGGAACATGGCCGCCATCTTGAAAGCCGCCATATTGAAGTTTGGTCATGTAGCATACCAAAGACTGTGATTGTCACATAAACCATATCGCTAGTGGTTCAATAGTTATCAACATAGTAAATTGCACATAAAGGTACCTGTCTCACTCATTACTTAGTGGAGTATTCAGATATGTCATTTTCTTTATTGTTTCTGAAATAAAGGGTGTCCTGTGACTCTTGACTCACCCTGTAGCTGTTTAAATAACTCAGTTTAAATAGTCCCGTTGGTGCAAAGGTCACTGTTTTTGTAACCCATCGGCACTAAATACTCATTTTCATTTCCAGCTTAAAGCAAAAACCAAATGTTGTGTTTTTCTTGCTAGACCTGAAACTAGCTACAACTGCTGGCCTGCTGCATTTGGATGCTCCAAACATATGCTAACAGGTCCACTGCTTACATTAGTATGGGAACAGATAGTGCAAGCATTAAAACTAGTCCTTTTTCCCCGGCTTCCGGCCATCATGCCATTAAAAAATGGCATCTATTGTTTCAATCAGATGATTGTACAAAAAAAAACATACATTTGATAGCCTTCTTTAAAAAAAGTTTAAAGTCATGTAAAAATTAAAACTATTTTGTCAGGGAATTGAAAGCATCTAGAAGCATGTTTAACTGTAAACCTGGAATCAAATCCTTTTATTTTCAGGAAAAACTGTTTTCATTAAAACACTGCAACTTTGCATAATTCGGGGGTTACTAACGATATATGTAACCATTTATATTCGTACCTGCCATTTACTAAAAGGAAAAAGGTTCTTTTCCAAGTAATCTCTCCCCCCTCGATCCTCCTGGTCTCTGTTACTGAAAGGAATAACCCAGTTTCTTTATTCTCGTCCCTCTGAGGACCCTCTGATCCTACAGAGAGGCAGACAAACCAGCCTCCAGACTTTCTGTGCACTCGGGGGCAAGCCTCACTATTTATTGGTTTGGAGAGAGACAAAATAGTCAAAGTTTAAACATAGAGGATATTATTTGACATTGTCCCAAAAGCTTCCTGTCTGCTGGATTCAGCCAAATTCATTATCCCGAGCGGAAATGTCTCCTAATAAGCGGGATCGTGGGCTCCCCCCGAAACTTGTGGCTCCCGTAGCCGCTGAGAGGATTCAGAGGTGAGACGGCAGACTATGAGTCATAAGAACGATTCACAATCAGGAGCAGATCCCACAAGTTTGGCATCGGCTCAAATGGTTTTATAAATCCAAACTGCCCGTCTTTTAGCATTTAGACTAAAATGACATGAGATTAACTGAGAATGTATTCATAAATTATTCCTGAAAAACCCAAACAAAGCGCCACATAATGCTCCAGAGAGACAGTGAATCTAGGCCAATACCGCAGCCAAAGTTGTTTACTTGGCAGGGGGAAGCGTGTGCAATATCCAAAACTCCAACCGAGGGGGAGAAAAAGGGAGGACAATTGGAGTTTACACACAGAACCCTTTTTTGTAGCAAACTTTAAAGGCAAAAGCAATACGACTAAAAGAAAAAAGGACCCGATTCAAAAGGGGTGTATAATGTACCCGAAGCCCCCCGTGTAAAGCGCCTGAAATAGAAGCCGGACAACTTTTTCTCTTCCCTGAAAGAGCCCAGCTCCCGTCATCGTCCCGTGGCCGGGCCAGAGAGGGACGGGAACCCAGCGAGACGGCAGAGAAGAAGCTCTTTGTGTCCCAGTTGGACGCCGGCTTTTAATGCTATCATTCCTGTCACCAGCGCTGGTTACCAGTCCCCCTCTTGACGGCTTTCAGCCGGAAACGCCGTCTGACAACCACGGCCGCTATTATCCGCTTTCTTGGATCGGCTTGCAACCCAAACACGAACACACAAACAGACCCGAGCACACTTAACACTTGCAATCGATTAAACACATGCTCGGGCGGAGGGATCGGGTTTTGGGTGATGAGAGCTGAAGCTCCGGAGAGAGAAAAAGGTTTGCCATATGTCTGAGAGCAGCGAGAGGCTGGTACAGAGTCTTCAGAGCAGGGAGGCTCAAATAAATAGACGAAAGTCAAGTCAAGTCCTGCACAAACAACCGGCCGTAATCCATAACAGCCTGTCGAAATCTGTCTGGGGCAGGTAGCGGCTCAGAAAATACACAAAAGGCTGCAAAATGGCCCATAATGTAGCAGAGACTGCTGAGTTTAGCTGAGTCACCATTAGTCACGGCTCCAGTTGGTCATCAACGTGCACTTAAAAACATTTCGGTAAAAAGATGGGATTTATAGGATTTACAGAAAAGCTGGGTCTATTTTCGTCCACTTATTGTGAAATGTTGATTAAAAGCTAGTTTTGAGAGGCTGAATTTTACATGAACACATTCACATGAAGTAGCAACCATCTTTTCTTGTCACTTGTTTCTTGTTCTTGACACTTTTCATGTGTGCGTTTTCCTTTGTTTCTCTGTAGAAAACACCACAACCATCAGACTCGTCTGTCTCAAAATAAGTTTTGCTGGCAATGTTAAATGACAGTCTTGATTTTTTTTGTTGCTCAAACAGAAAAAAAGTTGGAAGCTGAGTCAAAGCACTGTGCCCCAAAGCCACCGACATTAACGAGACCACTTTCGACGCATCATAAACGAAGGCGGGCACATTTATCCTCAATAACAGTCGTGTAAAGCATTCTATCAACTGACTCTTCTTTCTAATTTGCAACCGCTTATCTTTGCATATTTGGTGCTAAGCTGCGACCAATAAACGCCACATCTGACATCCTATCCACTTTTATTTAAGCCCTGATGTATTTCAAATGTATGATTACATCTTTTGTGAAGTAAATATTGATTAAAGCTGCTGTTAATCAAGCACTGTGGCTCCTAAAGGACATTATTAGTCTTCTTATTCCGGCCTCTGCTGCACACTTTGGGTTTCTCACTGAGTCTGCATCCCATTTCCACAAACAGGGCTTGTTTTTCAGCTTTGTTTAGTGATTCGCTCTTTCAGAGAGGAAGAGGATGGTATCAGTCCAAAAGAATGCCACAAAGAGGGGGTCTTTGACCTCATGGTGTGATTTAAAGGGTACCACATCTTTGTGCTCTGTGCTGGATTTCAGACTGAGCTGTTTGCAGAGCGGCGATTGATAGGGAATGAGTTTAAAAGGCAGATATTGTCTTTTTTAAAGATACTTTTTGGGGCATTTCCATTATCTTTCTTTATCATAAAGCTTCTGGAAAGCATTTCTTTATCTTTTTAAGACATTTTCTGTAAAAAAAATATATACAATAAAAAGCCATGAAAGGTGAGAGATTTGCACCTTTTTTTATTTTAAAAAAAGTGCATTGAAGAAGAGTCGTTGACTCGTCCAAACTGTGCCAAAGCAAGGGAACTTTTCTAATGCATTCCTCTCATTTCATCACCAAAGCACAGCAAACACGCAATTCGTCTTCCTCCAAGGCACCTGATGCACTGAAGGCTTCGAGTTTCTTTCCCTTTTTATGGCTGTTTCTTCACATCCATCCATTATTGTCTGCATGTCTGAGGTCAGGTCGTGGAGTCAACAGGTTCAGGAGGGAAACCCGGATATAGGATATATAATCCCTCCATAGGGAGGCGACCAGGAGGCATCCAACCAGGTTTGTCAGTGCAAATGTGGCCAACAAGAATGACGAATCAGCATGAATCCACTTGGAGAAATCGATATAAAGACGATGTGTTCTGAACAACCTGAACAGTGCAAACTAAACACCGATCTAGGTGTTGAGCCGGTTCTTTTCACTATGAAAGCCAAAGAGAGCGAAGCTAACCATCTGCCAACTGGATTTTTGGCTATGGACACAATACCTGGATGCTCTTTTGTTTATAAGCAGATGGGTCTGAAGACACTTTGGAATCCATTTCCAAAACTTTGGAAAACTTTATATGTCAGGATGTAAAAATTATGCTGGAAAACAAAAAGCTCCAGTATCAAATCTAAGATGAACCATTCAGGTTTCCTCCAGAAAGCCTAACTTTTTACAACAGCTCGTTCTCTTTAAATCGCCCCAAAAGCATTTCTAATTGAGAAACCCTCCAGAGTGAAAGAGTTAAATATTTCCCCTGCTCCCTTAATGCCAGACATCTCTGCTCCGGCTTTGTGTACCCGTGCAAACCGTCGGTTAAATCCGATCCTGTCTTTGTCACAATATCTGTTTACTGTTGCTCCAGATGTTTGGTCTGAAATCAGCAGCAGGAACCCGGGGCAAGTGTTTTACCATGCCAGGGCAGGCCCAGCAGCATCTACCTCTGCCAAGCGCCGCTGCTTTTCTCCTTCGTTTATCCCGGCGCTACGACTTTTTCGTCTTTTCCTGGACTTATCCGCAGAACAGCGGTGGAGAGCAGCTGGCCCGCACATCATCGCCGAGGGCCCGCGCGAGCCCCGGCATGGCCCGCCTCGTGGTGTGAGGACGCGGGAGTGGAAAGCACTCAGTTATCGTACACAACCACAAGGAGGTCTGGCAGGAGCCTCGGCGATGACGTGCGGGCCAGCTGCTCTCCGCCGCTGTTCAGAAAAGACGAAAAAGTCGGAGCGCCGGGATAAACGAAGGAGAAAAGTTGTGCCTTTACGCACAACACGAGGGGCAGCCCAAACGCACTCACACAGGCAAAAAAAACACACTCAGAAATAGGGTTGTCACGATACTAAAATGTTCAACTCGATACCGATACTCAGGAAAATACTGGATACTCCATACCATTTTCGATACTACAAGGATAAAAACAAAGACCCCAAAATTTAACTGAATTTTGACAGGTTAGTGTCTTTCATTTCAAACTGACCTGTAACTAATGTTATTGTGACTGGTGGCCCGCATTAATCACCCTAATCCTAACCCTAACCCTAACCCTAACCCTGACTCTAACCCTGACCCTACAACCTTCATAATTGTGAGAAATAAATATTTTTTGGTTAAACTTGTTTGGACTTATTCTACAAACCTATTCAACAATACACTATTTTAACATAATGGTATCGATACTTTTGAAAACGAGTATCGTATCCGGATACAACATTTTAGTATCGATACTTTTTGGAGTATCGATACTTTTGACAACCCTGAACATCCCACAGGGAGAGAAAAACCGTCATCCACTTACTCGAGAAAGCTGGTGATGTAGTCTTTGCTGCAAGCCGACCAGGAGAAGGGGTTGGTGTTGGCTGTGATGTGGGCGGCCATCAGCTTGGCCGTCTCGTGGCCTTTGGTGCCGCAGGAGTTCCCGATCCCGTCGTGGTTCATCCCGAAACTGGAACGCACAAACAGGGATTGGAATCAGGATCCTGCTCTGGGTTTTTTGGCCCCCGGAGAGTCCGGGTCCGCCTCAGTCGGCGGGGGTTGTAAAGCGGGAGCTCGGCGGCTCTGAAACAGCTGTGCGGAGGGGTCAGGGGTCAAACCCCGTCTGGAGCCCGGCAGTAAGGGGAAAAGTCCTAATCACCGCTCAGATGCCTGCCTGTCAATCACCGCCTGCAGGTCTGAGCAGGCCGGGAGAGGGAGAGAGTCAGCCAAACCCAAACAGCTCCCCACGCCACTGGAAAGCATTAATTTCACCCCGAAAGATCCTTCACAAACAGATATTCAACAAAGATCAGGATGTGAGCGGCGCTAACCTTTGCTTGCTTGCACGAGTCGGCTCTAACAAACCCCGACCACATCGCACAGCCCGACTCTGCTATTCTAAGGCTGGCGTTTATGACAGTTTACCCTCCTCTGGAAATAAATCAGGCTGCTCGAAAACTCCGCTGCAGTGTGTTTTTTTTACGCATCCACTAGAAGCGGGGCCTATTTTTACAACTGACCCACAACAGAAGCAGACACGAGACATAATAAAGGAAATCAGCCATCTTGCTGAAGTCTCTCGAGGGGAATGCGTAGACTAATACATCATCATTATTTTGCTTTAAATTCAGGAGGAAAGAGCCGGAGGTATGTGGACAGAGACGTTTGCATGAGGAAAAATGTGGAGGTCCAGTGCAGGATCTCTGGAGGCTCAGAGCGAGTCTGGAGAACCCAGCCAGTCAAATATCAACAAACGATCGAAGCTTTAGAGATAGCCTGAGAGGAGAGATCGACTTGTTTGCTTGACATACATGAATACATGAAATAAAGCTGCTTAGAACCGGACTCAAGCTCGAAACACATGCTAACACACGCTAACGTTTGCTAACAATGGCTACGTAGGGGTTTAGCCATAAACCAAAGAGCCGGACACATCAAAATTTCCCCCTGATGATTGAGCTAGATGGAAATTCAAGACATTTTCATGGCAGCCATTACTTGCTGAGTAGTTCATGGAGAGTGGAGACGTTTCTGTAAAAACCACATGTGCCAACAGGACGGCATTTGTAGCATCAGTCTCATCTCCTAAAAGTGCAGTTTTTAGAAGATGTTCCCGTCCTGCTGGCTGAAGTCTGCAGGGGGCTGCTCCAGCTCCAGACCCAGGTCCAGATCCAAAGGCAGACCCGGTTTGATCACGTGTCAACGTGGACTTCAGGGAGTCAGTGAACGCCACATTGCGCCAGAGAGTTGGGTCATCAAGCCCTTTGTGGACTAAACAAAACTAAAAAAGCACAATTAAATTACTTTGAATGGAGCCCAGATGAGACAAGAGGTGAGGTTGGATATAAACTCTGAGCCCAGCTTTTGGGGATGCTAAACCAGGACAGCTATAGTGATCAGAAGATCCCACCAAAGTCGGAAACATTAAACGGCACAATAAGCAATCAAGCTGAGTCTGATTAAAATCATGATAGAAGACATGACTTGATTTTTCTGGGGTGGACTTCATTTGCTTCTCTTTGATCTTGAAGGTGACAAATCCCCTTAAATCCCTCAGAGTGACTTCCACCCGAACCCCGACTCCTCTGCATTTTGCATCAGCGAGTAACGTCAAACTTGATATTTTATATTAGGATCTTAAAAAGTCTTAAAACTCACTTGTGGCCAATCTCGTGCGCGATGGTGAAAGCAGAGCCGAGGCCGATGTCTTCATTGATGCTGCAGCTCCTCTCGGGCTCGCACATTCCAGCCACCGAGGCCAAGCCTGGACGCACACATGAGCACACACGCCAGACAAACACACAAACACAGGGTCAAGGCGTAGCAGGCTCAGGAGTCATGCTCGTAAAAATCAGGATTCCACACATTTGATCTGCTGACAGAGAACCAGTCACCAGGAAGACCAGCCCAGCATGGCCAGCTGGACTTTTTAAAAACCTTCTTCCGATCTAAAGCCACTTCTAAAAAATGCCCGGACGTGGGTTAGATTTATACATCTCAGCCAGCCAAGAAGGGGAGTATAAGAGCCCCCTCGCCAAGGCGGTGCCCCGGCAGAAACCCGTCGGAAAACATCCATGTTTTCCTCATTTCTGAGCCCGACCCAGAGGCGGGAGGAGGAGGAGGGGCAGGGGCTCGAGTCAGAACCGCTCCGCAATCCAGGTGTCGCAGGTCCTTTTTTTTTTTTTCTTAAAGCCTGACAGGTCAGATAAGGAGACTGCAGGCAATTCTTCCCAGATTACATCTACAGGTGACCCGAGAAGGGATCGTATGTCAGCCCAAAGCAGGTGTGTGTGTCTGTGAGCGCGGGCGAGCGCATTGCTGGGTTTAGGCACCGTCAAGTCCAGCCATGCACATCATTTCGGTTTACTTTTCGGGAGCTTTTGGGCAATATCTAGACTTTTAGACAACATAGAGAGTATTCTGTGTCAAGTTTCCCTCCAAATGTTCATGAAAACCAAATAAAAGGTCTTAAGAATTGAGAAAAGTCTTAATTTTTCCAGTAGGTGAGGGTGCAAAAGTTAGATATCTGAAGATATCTGATGTTTTTACACCTATTTGTCAGAAGAACCGGAAATCGTTTAGTTCTCACTTTTTTTTTTACCAGCATTACATTCATTTTCTCCCAACATCTGTCACATTCGCTGAAGGTTTTTATCTGCTTTTTATTTGGAGCTGCAAACTAAAGCGAAGGCAGCTGAACGCCGAATGAGAAGACAGGTAAAAAGAGCGGCCTTTTTTCTTTTTTTACTCGTGAATTACCACCTCTTCCAAGAGACCGCATGATTTGGGATGCGGCGCTCGGTGGAGCTCCGGGTTTGGAAGGAGCTCGGTGCTAAAAGCGGCGTGGCTTTGGGATCCTCTTTACTGAGGAGAGCTCAACAAGAATAGACTCGCAAATCAGGGGGGCCACTGAAACCATTACTGCAGGGGAGAGAGAGAGGGAGCCCGAAGGTGAAGAAAGAAGGAGCGGAGGGAGGGAGGGAGAGGAAGGAGGGTGGCTACTCTACGATTAGGTTAAGAATGTGTGCGAGTCGGGGAGGTGGGGGGGGGGGGGGGGGGAGGGGGGGGGGGGGGGGGGGGGGGAGGGGGGGGGGGGGGGGGCGACGAGGAAGCCAAGCAGATGCCAGGGCAATTAAAGCGAGCGGGGAATGTGACGAATGCGGTCAATCTGTCAAAGCGCCCCCGAGGTCGCAATATTACCTCCAAGATATACTGTGGTGCCTGCGGGGCCTTTCGCACAGATAAGCCGGGTGGAGGTGTGGTGGGAGCTGGAGAGGTAGGAAGGAGGAGGACGGGGGGGGGGAAGGGGGGGGCTTCTGCCACTACTTGCTGTCCTTCCACACCCCCCCACTATCACCAAAACCTGCACATCGCCTCATTTATCACCTTTAACACACCCTGTAATTGTCCCTTTTTCCCCTTGAATTTCCCTTCATCTCCCCCTTCTGCCCCTCTACCCCCCGCCTATCACCCGGCCTTTCCTTTCGCTCTCTCGGCCCCGGGTGGAAGTGTAAACACCTTAAACTAACTGAGACTGAGACACAGAGGGCTCTCAGAGAGCGGGGGGTTCAGGGCTCCTGGCCTCAGCCGCCGAGGAGCTGTAACAACGCAAAGGAAAACATCCCTCTCGTTACGTCTGGCGCTCCGCGTAGGGTGGCTAAATAAGGTTTGTCTGAGGACACGCTGAAGGCCGAAAGTGAAAATGAACTCTAAACTCCGAGCTCAGAGGCTCAAACGCTCCACATCGGCTAAAGATTTCCACTCCAGGAGGAAAAGGAGAACGCAGCGTTCGGACCTCTACTCACCCAAAGTACCGCAGGGCTTGTTCTTGTAGGTGCAGATGTCATATCTGAGAGGAGGTCAAGAAAAAGGGGAAACACAAACGTTAGCATCAAATCAACTCGTTTTTTTTTTTGTTTTTTTTGTTTTTGCTTCTCTTTACGAACACTTCTCTCGTCCTCTGGCCGCGCGCCATCCCATTCCTTCCCCGTTTAATCACAGTCTGGCCCGTTCGTAGGCTCAGCCTTTAGCATAACAATAGTGAGGTCATGACAGGTTTGCTTCGAGAAAACACCTGGCTCGCTCGCTCCATCTGTGGCAGGAGCTCTGCAGACCGGGGCTCCACCGCTCACCCCGACGGGGGGGGGTAAGGACACATCATACATTTCAGATGGATGATCCAATCATTACTAAAGCTTTTAATCTATTAAAACCAAGGGCACTGATAATTGAATTTCCTCCTCCTTCCCCTCCGTGTCTCTGTAAATTCCTCCTCCTCCTCTCGTTCGTCTTTTCCCAAACCAACAGAGTCCGGCCAGAGTCTGACCTCCTTCCGAACGTCTGTTTATTTTGATTCATTTCCCCACAATTTCTTTCTTTTTTTCTTTTTTTTTTCCAAAGCATGACAGGTCAAATTACAACCAGGAAGAAAGAAAAAAAAAACCCTATCTGTTGCACTGATCAGCAACAAAGCAGCGGAGGTCACTTTCACAATGATGGTCGGGGAGGAAGAGGAGGAGGAGGAGGAGGAAGAGGAGGAGGAGGAGGAGGAGGAGAACCGGTGAAAACCACGATGACGGCAGACAAAATATGACCGAATTTCACAACCCTACATTAGTGTCTTTGATAGGAAATTGACCTTTTTTTTCAGTTAAGAGCCACAAAACAGTAGATTGGAGGTCCCAAAAAAGGAAGATATTTAGAAGCAAATTGCTCTATACCAAGGGAATACTTCCCATCCCACCTTTCTATCTCTGGCCCTAAAGCTAATTTGCTGTGCCATGTGTGAGCAGGCTTACAATTATGCCTCTGATATGTTGATTTGAGTGTTTGGTTTCTCCGCTTGAGAACTCAAACGCCGATTCAAGCATCTTGAAACGCTCAAACAGACGTGTTTAAATGCCATTACGCAATTTTCGGCACTCTTGCGACTGTTTGCGAGTTGACAAAACACACATTTACGAGTTAAAGGCTGTTTCCATTAAGTGGTTGGTCTAAAAAAAAAAAAAAAAAAGTTTTAAATCTTTAAAAAATGACTCGGGGGGCGATGGCTGTCCTTCGCCGCTCGCCAAAAAGATAAATCCCACGTTCAGCTTTTTTTGTGCAGACTTTGCATCCAGAAATAGGAGCAGAAGAAGCCAAAGGGCTGGAGAACGTCAGCCGACAGACAACCGGCGAGAGCTCGCTCCTGATAGTTTCGTTTGCAGAACCCAAAGAGTCCCAAACTCTTGGCTTTGCTCCACGTCAGTCCAAACGACGCCACCCCCCCCCCCCCCCCCCCCACCCCCCCTCTCTGGGATAAAACCGGTTAGGGAATATGTATTTTTGTTGCTAGGTTCTGTGGCCAAAACAGTTCTGGCAACAATGAAGCCTATTCCAGGTAATGACAGAGTTTCGCTGTTTTATGGTAACGGCCTTGACATAAATTGCGGGCTGACAGGTACGGCATGTCTGGAGCGGCGTAACTCACTTCCAGAGCCCGGCTCTTTATTCCCCTCGCTCGCAGGTAAAAAGTCTGAGCTCGCAAGCCGGGGACTTGTGGAGGTTGCTGCTTTTAAGGGGGCACGGCCCGAGCAAAAACGGTCTGCGATCTATTTTCTCCGAATGACAAAATGGCGACGATGGAAAGTGCGGATCGTTATGGTGCCAACAGAGAGAGACCTTACCGGGTGATGAGGACGGCGTTGTCGTGGTGAGCCACGCCGTTCTCCGGGATGCTGTTCCCCCCGCCGTGGTGAGACAGGATGGACTTCTGCCACTTGCAGAAACTGTCCAGGGACTTGTCGGCGTGGTGATTGATCTCCAGGTTCGGCTGCAAAAGACAAAAAAACGGTAGCATTCAGCATGAGTGAGCATCACCTGTCTCGCATATCATATCTAATTAACGTCATGTTGTTTGTTTTAGCAGAGACGTGGAGCACATTTGGAAACATCAGTGGTTCCAAAATGGTTATCAAGGAGGAGAGGCGAAGCTCCTCGTGGTTCATCTGGTTTAGGATGTCTCCTGCTCGCCTCCCTTTTCAGGCTTTTTAGGCCCATCCAACCAGAAGAGGACCTCTCACTGAGGAGGGGGAGGTCTGGGTTGCCCTGAACCTGTGGCCACTTTGAGAAAGGCCTCACACGGACGGACTTCACAGGTCAGTTAAGAAGGGGGGAAAGCCGAGGTCTTTAAACCATCTGGACGTTAATTCCACTTGTTGCTCGACTTCGCATTTTTTCTGAAGATGAAGACTGACATTTCCTTTTCCTTCTGAGTCAAACTTCTGACACTGACTTTAGATTCCAACTGAATTTCAGACCTTGTACTACATAAAGAGCAAGCAGACCCCTGCGGCGTGCAGGTCCTCTGTTTCTCCCATCAAACACACACACATGTGCGGTGCATGTAAAAAACCCCTCAATGGAAGCTCTCAGAGGGAAGCACATCTTTCATTTGAAGCGGTGGCCATATGGTGGATAGCCTGCTCTCCCCTCTGCCCGCTCAAATAAAAGGCTGCGGCCTCACCTGATCCTCGGTGAGGACGATCAGCCGCGTCACGATGATGTTCACAACATTTCCTAGGCTGGCATCGCGGTAAAGTTTGGCAACCTGACCTCCAGAAAAGAAGAAAAAGCACAAAGTCAGACATCTGAGCCGCAAAACAGCCCGCCGACCTGGAAACCAGAGAGAAGCGCCGCGCCCGGCCCCTGGACCGGAGCAAAAAGCGGGACCAAACTTACAATGTTCATCACGGACAGGATGTAGTGCTCGATGTCCTTGCGTCCGTGGTAGCCCACCATCATCTTGTCGGCCACCACCAGCGTCTCCACGAAGCGCTCGGCGCTGACGGAGCGCCGGCGGCGGCGGCGGGCGCCGTCCGATTGCTCGCCGTGGTCGTGGGGGGCTGGGGGCGGTTGGGCGGCGGCGGCAGGGGGGGCGCCGAGCTGGCACGGCGCGCCGCTCTTGATGAGGTCTGCGAAAAAAGGCCGGACGGAGTCAGTCCGGGAATATAACGAAACACGGCAGGTTTGGAGAGAGAGGCCTGGTTCCCGTTTGATAGATGCGGATCGGGAATGTGGCCCTTTGAACCTCGCAAGCAACAGCCTTTGTTTTATGGCCCAGATGCTCGGAGAGGAAAACGCCATGAGATGGTACGTGTTAGGGCACGCTAGCTTCCTGCCGATGACAGACTCCGCGCTGCCTATGAGACCTTGGCCCAAATACCAAAAATATCCACCTGGTTCTTTTCCCCAGTTCCTCATATTCCTCATATATCATGCAAGCGCCGTATTTGGTCCTCTGAAAAAATCCATAAAAATCCAAGTTTAATGGGTTTTTATGGTCTGAATGCCCTTCTGTGAGGGCCGGACTAAGACTTTCTCTTACGGGGTAAAAGGTGTCCAGGCCAGCACACAAGAGCCCCGGTCATGTCCAGCAGAACCCGGGCCTAGAACCAAACCAGCACTTCCTCTAACCGACTATGTATAGTTATTCCTTTACGTCAGTTCCACCCACACAGAGTCCAACCCAGATGGAGGTTCACCAACCTGAAATGCCACAGCTGAACTCCTGGCTATGCTCTTGCGGCGAGGGAATGGCAGACATTTTATAAATAACATGTTGCTGTGCTTCTTCCAGGTTCCGTTCACTGGAGGCGGTGGCAGATTTGTTCTTTAAAGGCTCTATTAAATACTGTTCTTCCTCTGTTGTTATGACACCATGCTTGTTTGGGAGAACAAAAAACAAAAGGAAGAAGACACATTACAACATTCAAACATCAATGGTGCAAAGCGATCTGAGAAAAAAAATGTATAAATCTGGAAAAAATGCTTTTTGACATTTATCGTCATTTTGATTTTTAGACTTTTTTTATCAAGGGGAAAGTTTTTCTTCTCTGTGTATAGACATGGAGTAAAGTGAGCAGATGCAAAGATGTGGGTTTTTTGGCATCTGTTTCGTTAGTTTACAGAGAGGAAAAGGGAAAGGACCGATAATTAGTTTGAGTGGTGAGTAATCTGTCATTTCTGCCCCTTTCAGTCTGAAAATAATCTGAACATTTCGAAAAGCTTAACAAACACATCAGGGGTCGTATTTCGTTAGGCTCAAACCGGCAACCTTTGAAGGGGGAGAAAGAGCAGTCTACCTTCTCAGCGGCAGACATTCCCAGAACAACTGCACAAATTATACTCAGACTTAGAAGTTAATTTTCTCAGGCTTATGCTATCACCGTGGGCTTTGAGGCGATTTGAAGCTTGATTTAAGTCAATAGAAAATGGACAGGATCCAAGTTTCTATCAGCTGGCTTTAAGCGTATTAACTGTGCTTGATATAAATTGTTTTAAAAAATGTAAGAAGCCTTTTGCAGAAGAAAAAGAAGGTCAGTTTAACAGTGCAGTCGGCTACATGCAAAAAGAAGTGCATCGCCCGCTCTGAGTGAGATGTAAGATAGAAACTGCTGTCTTGACCATATATGAGAGAAAAACAGAGGTTTAAATCTGGGACTCTTTTTCATTTTGCACAATGTAATTATTCTTTCATGTCAGCAATCAGTGACCACGTTTCCTCTATAAAAGGGGGGAAAGCTAGTAATTTAATTTGAGAAGTCATGTGAGTTTGAGTCTGTGGTTGCACGTGTAGAGGTTAGCCGGTGCACATCCACCTGAGGCAGTCTCCAAAAGATGTGGAACGACCTAATATGCAGATTACTTGTGCTCATGTAAGTGCTTTTTGTTGGTCTTTCAGCTTTGCCCTGTCACGAAAAAGCTAGCTTTGAAATACATTTTTCATAAGTTACTGTAATAACCACCCCTTACATTTTTGAGTGCTGCATGAATTTTGTATTTGAGAAGTTCACCACATTAACATTTATAAGAGATGTCTCTATTGATTTTTCTCAAGTCCCCTTGAGGATAAGTCGGTTTCTATCCCTCTCTGCTGTGCATCAGCTCTGCCTCGAAAAAGCTTTCATAAACATGCAAGCTGTCTGACTCTGACCGGCTGTGTTTCATGTCGAATTCTCCCCCCAAAAAAAACTGTACCGGCACAAGAAGGTGTCAGAGAAACCAGTTCTTATTCATGGTTTGTCTCTGATATTTATGATAAAGCTGCCAAGTTCTGCAAGACATCCTAGTAACAGCAGAAAACATTACATTATTTTTGTTAAATATCTATCTCAAGATATACGAGTCTGTCAATAACTTAGATTCATCCCTTCCATTGTGTTACTATCTGTCCTAATTATCTATCCTATCCGTGCATCACCTAAATCTTTCTAAATCTCAACATCTATTTCTCACCAAGAAAGTCACCACAATGGCAAGCCTTTTACCTATAAGGAAAAGTAGGCCAAAAAAGTGCAAGTACTCTGGAAAACATTGTGTGTTATGACTCTGGAAGTCAGGTTTCTTTCTTCAGAAACACCAGTAGATGTGGCAAAACGGTTGAACAGTTCAAACCTGCTCATCCTGAGGGATGAAATGAAAAGTTAAAACCCCAATATCGCCACATAGTGTGAAACTATAAGGCAACATACCAGTCTAAATATGTGAAACATTTTTATATAGCCACACTGTGAGACACAGAGAGACAAACTCAAATGGTCTGCTGATGGTTGACTTTGACATTGTCTCGTATCGAGATGTTGACATGCGACCATAACAACCAGTCTAACATCAAATGTTAGCATAGCCACACTATTGCCACATAACCGAGCCTGAAGATGCTGAATGTCGACACAAGCACATTGATTACAAACATAGCTGCATGATAAGGTGTCAAAAATAAAATATCCCAACGTAGCAAAATGTTAAATGTCTAAATAATCCCAAAGCTAGGTGGAGAGCGTTAGCATAGCTACACAGGAAGACACTATCGTCAACTTTTTCATGTTCCTAAAATGTTGAACCTTCTCATCGCCACAGAAGGACGCTGATTATCGAATTAGCCATGTTTTAAATCAATGAACATTAAATTTGTGTCATAAAAACTTCAATGTAACCAGCTAGCAAGGCATGGAATATAGCAAAGTAGCATTACGCTGAACATGTCTGTAGGTAATGAGGTTGAATGACAGTCCACAATTGTCTCATAAGGGAATAAGTCTGGAAAATGACTGGAAAATGGATGGTTTTTAAGATTTATTTTAGAAAGTTGCCATTTTTGGCATATTTTGCCATTAGATTAGATTGTCATGAGCGTAATTCTTGTTGTCATTATCATTATCAGTTAGTGTTAAAAACGGTAGAGAGATGTGAACGTTTGGCAGTAAATTTGCAGAAGGTAAGACTGTGCGATTGATCATTTTGAGCTCTGACTGTCGGGTTGTTTCTCTTTATGCCACTTCAGTTTTGCTCGTCGCCTCCTGAGTTTTCCCTCCTTCAGTACACTCTTTTAAACTCGTGTCGCAGACACTGGTCTTCCAAATTAGGGACATGTTTTCACACATTTGGCGCTTGCGTCAGTCACATCCAATCAAAAACGAAAATACAAAAACCCCAAATTATTAATTACTTCAAGAAAACAATTCTTTCGCCTGAGAGGTCATTCGGTTTGGGTTTATAGGAAACACTGTCTTGGCCGCGCAAAACAAACAATAAAAGCAATTAACCACATATCACACTAGCATGCAAAAAACATTTATGATTTAGGGTTTTACTAGTGTGTGATGTCAAGATCTCACTCCGTCCAGACAGCTGATTAGATTAAAGCACAGACAGTTTTGTCCATTTTTGGTGCTGGAAGAAAAAAAAGAGCAAACACTAATTCAATTTATGATACTCAATGCAGGCCTTGCCAACACATTTGGCCACATGTTTGCTCCACATGACTGCATTTGCCAATAACAAGCAGGACTCTTTCTTCCTTCTTTAGAGTTACTCTGAAAGCACGGGGGGATAGCAGCTGTTCTAACTTCTTCCAATTCTTGATTAGCATGGAGACGCTGGACGGTCTATGGATAAAAGCCTCGGGACTGAAAGCTGAGACAGGATAATTAGACTTTTCATTAGAGTTGCTCATTTTTTTGGGGTTCTCCGGCAGTAAACCTAATATGGGGCAACGTCTTTGGCTGGGACTCCTGATTTGAACATGACAGCCAATCGCTGGGTGGTGGGACGGTCGGGCAGAGTGGCCGAACGGACAGTGTTAGACGGTAGAAGGAGGGTTTTCTGGGGGGTGAAGGGGTGCACTCACCAGGCCCTGACAGTTGCTGAGTGCCACTCTGGTGGTGCTGTGCTGGTTTTGCAGGAACCCGACGTAGTGGCAGTTGTCCACCGCGTTGTGCCGCCACTCGGGCCCCTCGCGGCCCCAGTACTCCACGGTGAAGTGCCCCGACACCAGGTGGGGGTTGAGCGTCAGGTTCAGGTGAAAGTGCTTCCCGTAGGCCGACAGCCTGTAGAACAGGGCCGGCGGCGGCGGCGGCGGCGAGGGCTCCGCCGCGTCCCGCCGCCGCCGGCCCGGCCGCTGCTGCTTCACAGTGTAGCTCAGGAACTCCCCGTTCTCGTCCACCCGCACCGGCACCGTCAGCTGGTAGTGCTGCAGGTAGGACAGGAACTCCTCTGACAGGGCAGAAAAACACCTCCGTTCACGTTATCCAAAGCAGCCTCCATCCGTCCACCCGTTATCGTAACCGCCTCTTCCCTAATGGGGGGACTGGAGCCTATCCCAGTGGTCAATGGGCGAGAGGCGGGCTATACCCTGGACGGTCCGCCAGTCCATCACAGGGGCACACAGAGACACACAAGGACCAACAATCACTCACACTCACACTAAGGGCAGTTTTGGAATGTCCAATACACCTAACATGCGGGTTTTTGGCCTGGAGCCTATCCCATTGGTCAATGTGCCAGATGCGGGGCCACACAGAGACACACAACTACTCACTCCTAAGGGCAATTTGGAATGTCCAATCAACCTAACATGTCAGGAGGAAGCCGGAGAACCTGGAGAGAACCCACAGACACAGGGAGAACATGCAAACTCCCCACAGAAAGGTCCTGGTTCCCCCGGGGACTCTAACCGAGAACCCTTTAGGCTGTTAGGCCATGGTGCTAACCACCACACAACCCTCAAAGATACAAGAGAATTTTACATCGCAGAACCTAGCAGGAAGAACCTATGGATGAAGAGGGATGAACACGCAGCATTTCACAATAAACAACTGGAATATTAAGGTTTTAATGAGGTTTTAGATAGCAGTGAGAGCTTTCAGGGCTCTCTGCCCATCTGTTGCCATCATACCTTGAGAGTTGTAAGAAAGTCTGTTGACGCCTTGAAATTCAGAAGCAGCCATCACCACCAGGCTCAGAGTCCAAGTCAGCGTCTTCCACAATATTTCCATAATTCAGGGGAGGATGTGACATGAGGTTGGGGTAGAGGGTGCTACGAAAGGGTTAAAAGCCCAGCGCTGGTCCGGTGCCACACCATAACAGGTCCATGGTCGGGGTCCGTCTCTGAAAAGCTCTCGCCGGGCTCGCAGGCTCATCCAGGTCTCAGATTTCTCCCGAAGGCGAGCGCTTCCTCATCTCTCTGGCTTCCGAATTCATGTCAGCAGCTCGCAGAACACTCTGTAATCCATCTGATGAGTCGCTCTCAGGTGTAGCTCCAAACTGGGAACGCTATATTGGAAACGTCTCTTGACCGATCCATCTGCATTCCTGCGAGAAAAAAAAGTTGAACAGCAGCTTTTTTGCTCTGGAATTATTGCTTGTTTAGGAACAGCTTGATGGTTTATTAAAGCCAAACCTGTTTTTGTTTCCAGCTTCCAAAAAATGTTTAGTTCTGCTACTTTTGTGGATTTCCATGACTTTAGATGGAAAGTCTCTGGCTTTGTGACAGCTCTTTGGACATTTTGAGGACAGTGGCTTTGAGCTCAAGTGCATGTTTTAGCCTCAGATATCATTAGATCATTATCAACCCATCTGCTGGATTTAAGGTTTTATGCCGAAAAAGTCTGGAAATTATTCAAACAGCTGTCCAAATAACAATTATACCAACAGCAAGCTGCAGAGTCTCACATTCTTCTCGACAGGATCTGGCATTTTCCCGTTTCTTACGCAGTGGTTCTGAGTTAATCAACTCAAAGTCTAACTCGGAGGCGTCAGAGGTTTACAGCTTGCTCGTGTCCGTAATCCAACACATTATCCCATCCGATCACGTGCTAGAGACCATCCCGATTTGAGTTTACACTTCTGTCTCATTAACTGGAGCTCGATGACAGCTCGATGACTGATTCGGTGTGACCAAAAAGAAACGGGCTGGACGGTGAAACTGACGCGTAATAGCCGCGTTGAGAGGAGCGCGTAAATCTCAGAAATAAAGATGATCTCATTTTTTTTTTCCAGCAGATTGCGGTTCAACTCACGGACTCAGCGCTGGACTATTATAAACAAACGTCAGGTGACACGAGAGTGATGTTCTGCAAAAAAAATTGAGTGCAAAAAAACGGGGATGGATGCAGACTTCGCGTGGACTCCAGACAGACAGACAGCGCTACCTACTTGGCCACTCTGACCCAGACAGCTGGCAGCCGGCCCGCGTGCACTACACCGGTTACCTCAAACACAACCCCTCGCGGAGCCTCTGCAAGTCCACATTTTGGGTTTTTTTTTTTTCTAAGTCTGTCCAAGCGGACCTGCAGCCCGTGCGAGCTTTACGCACTGGAAGTGCGAAAAACAGTGCGTAAAAGCACGCATTTCCCGTGCAACTTGCAGCTCCCCCCCACCCCCCTTCCTTTAAAAAAAAAGAAAAAAAGATAAAAGCTCTCAGTCGCAAAAATATCAGACCACAGACGGTGGGGTGGAAACGCGTCCTCCTACCTGGGAGAGCACTTCTGTGCACCGATAAAACCACCAGAAAGACACCGACCTACTCTGAGCACACATGGGGGGGGTGAGGGAGGGAGGGAGGGAGGGAGGGAGAAGGGGGGGGGGTGTCAGGGAGAGATATTTACCATGCTCATCCTCATTGTCAGCTCCCGTCCAAATGTGCGAAAGAGACAAAAGGGGGACTTCTGCAGCTCTCAAGCTCCGCGCACAAACCTCCTCCACTCTGCTCTTCTCATCTCCTTTTGAACTCTGCCATCCTCTGGATCTCTGCAGCGAGCGGTCTCTCCCCCCCCCTCGGCCCGGACACCCGAGCAACAGCAGCAGCAGCAGCAGTATCTCAGTCCAGACACTGTCTCAGAAAAAGCACTTATTCAGCTTTTTTTTTTTTTTTTTTTTTCAGGGGATTGGATTTCCTCCAGCAGAAGGCTTTCCTCTCAGCCTATCTTTCCCTCTAATAGTCTGAACTTTGTGTTCATGCTTGTGGCTCAGGGTGGCTCTGGAAGTTTGGAGGAGGGGAGGGAGGGAGGGGGGGAGGGGGGGGGGGGGGGGGGGGGGGGAGAAAAAAGTGCATCAAACAGCAGCAGAAGTTGGCTTGGAGGTGCTCCTTCTCACTACATTGCAGAGACCGGGTATAGGTCCAGGATCCAGCTTCAAATTGGCTGCTTTTCCAGGGGGTGGGGGGGGGGGGGGGGGGGGGGTCGGGGTGACGTCAGTGCAGATGTGCCTCTCTCTCTCTCCCATCAGCTGTGCGCATGTCTGTCAGTGCTGGCCTGAAATAACACCTTGGCTCTTTGAAGAATGCAGCCCCTAATGGAGAAGACTCTAATCCCCACACAAAGCAGAGGCTGCAATTAAAACCTCACCCATTACACAGTCATTCTGCCTTAAAGAGAGAGAGAGAGAGAGAGACCCGATGAGCTCATATAATTACACATTAGCTGCTTTTTCTGCCTTCACTGACGGAGAAAGTTTGAGATTTTTAAGCCAAATGTCCAACTAAAATGATCAGAAACACAGATTCAATTCAGTCGAGTTATCAAACCTCCCCTTAACTGTAAAGCAGATGTAAATATTTAGCATAATTACTCCAAAGTTTAACCTTAAACCTGACGGATATGTTTCTGAACCAGTGTGTCTGTGTAAATGTCGTTACCCTTTATTGAATTTCATTTAAAAGCTACAAACACCATATTTTGCACAGAATTTCCAGAATTTGGGGTAAATGTACTCATAAAGTGTGTTTCTAAACAATAAAAACTATCCATTCAGCTCATTTAAGGCAGCAAAGGACTATGGAAAGGTAAGAATAGAATTACAAGTATTTCCATCTTTTCCTGTTTTGTGCCACAACTTCTTCACACAAAATGTACATTTCAAAATGGGAAACGTCAAGATTTCACATGATGACATAAATGAGGAGATCGCAGAATCCATCCTGCTGTGTGATAACAGCTGGAGCTTCAATCCCAGTCCACTCTGTTACACTTTATTGCCCCTGCGGAGACATTCGTCCTGGACCAAAGTGCTGCGAAAGCTGCAAGACAGTGCAACAACCAATAAGACACAGGAGTATAGAGCACATGCAATCAAATCCACCTTAAAAGCCCCTAAAGAGATCCACACAGAACAGTTTTACAAAGGAATGGTTCTGCTTGCTCTAAATGAAAATAACTTAGTACCTATTTAAGCAGAAGCAACGTATTTTTTAAATGAAATCTATAAAACATAATGATATGAAAGGACTCACAAGTCAATGATTGATTTTGTTATCTTAGAACTTTTAGACTGCTATTTGCATTGATATCTGCTAAACATCAATTTAGCTGATAGCTATAAGTTATATTAGCAGCAAACATGGAAAAACAGGAGAGGAGAAGTATTAAAAGAAGGGTTTACCTTAAACTGCTCTAGACCGCTGCATTTTGGACAAAAACAGGACCTGGTTTGTGCTTGTAAAGAGGTTAAGTGTCCACGTTTTGAGCTAAAAAAGCAAAGAACAAACAGAGATCCTTAAAGAATTCCAGAGACTGTGTGACAGATAAGTTTTCATCCACTTTTCTCTCCTGTAAATCATCCCTCAAACCCTCAGATTCATCTCATGGGCCTTTTAAAGAAGGCAAACGTTCAGCCGGAAGACTAAGCTGTTGTCCTGGAAAACCTTTACTATAACATACACAATACTGTAGACATACTTTGTCGTTAAAGAGATGAGTCATTTAACCTGTGATAGTTTATGTTTGGACATGCTTTTTTGCTTATTACACATCATTTGGACCCAGAAGCCTGTAATTAAGTGGAAGATCTGAGTATTTAAGTACAGAAAACGTGTTGCTCATTCAGGTCATCGTTCAACTAAATGAAAATAGGGACCAATAGCTCATGATTACATTTTTTACATCAGTCTAAGCACTACTATGTGATTCCACCTTTGAGTGAAGGTATTCATTATGTTTGGCAGTAAACTATTAAAAGTGGTTCCACTGAGCAATGGGACGGCCGCCTGCCCTGTTTGCTGAAAAGTTTTGGTATTTTTCTTGGTGTTGGAGCCTAATAACAACCCTGTTCAGAGTCATTTAGCCCACGTCTATCTTTAGTCTGTCGGAAATTGAAAATCATGCCTATTCCTGAGTTTCAGCCGAAGCTGCTCATTATGTGTCATTACAGCCAGGTCCTCATTATGGGGGCCCTTTTGTGGGGGGGCAGCGCCACCGTGTGTGCACACCACACAGCACAGGTGTGTGTTTCAGGTGGTTTCTTATCATGCCTGAGCACTTTGCTTTTACAAAGTGTATCACATGTGGCAATAACAAGAAAATTGACTTTTTTTGGGGGGGTTTTCGATCATTTGGATTCTTATTTCTAACATAATTTGTTACACATCGTCACAAATGTGCTTACAAAGAACAGTAAAGATTCTTGTGTGTGTGTGTGTGTGTAGATATAAGACCAATAAAATGAAGCAGTGATCTGAGAGGATAATATGAATATACAAGATGAGAAACAACAGTTTTTAAGAGTAAGTTTTGGCTTTAACGGGTTCCAGTTCTGTCTGTAGAGTTGTAGATTACCTTTAATGAAATCTAATTTGTTGTCGTTCTTATTTCTTGTGTAATTTGTGTTGTGAAATATCGAAGTTAGATGAATATTTCTTTATGTTTGAAGAAAGCGTTTTATTTTGAAGGGCTCTCGGGAGACGAGGAACGTTGAAAAAACGTTGGAAAACAAACGGTCGCTATATTTCAAAAACGTTACTTAAAAGTATTAGCTCCTGGCTAAAAGGGCACAAGGTTTGTATTGTTTTTTGTACTATATTGTGTCCGGTTTTAAGTTGTATTAATATTTTAAATAAGTAAAGTATGTTTGCGGGTTTCGATTGTTAAAATTTTTCCGATCTATTTTTATCTGAGATAACACGGTAATTTGTCTGTAAAGTTTAAAGGAGTGTTTATTGGTATGTAATTGTTTTTTTTTTTTTTCCAATTTCTTATTGCCCCTTACGGGTCCTAAAATGAGGTTAATATGACCTCACATGAACATATTGCACTGTGGTTTATTAGTTCATCAAAAACTGAACCAAAGTTTTGAAATAATGTGTCTTCAAAATGTGGGAAAGACCAGAAGAACTTAAGGTTTGGCCACAATAAAGACACGATAGATCAGTTTCTGATTGTTTTCCGCTCTTTGAAGACACTGGATCAGTTCTTAGAAATCTTGATATGTGCCAGGGTTGATGGGGGGGGGGCATAAAATCCACCCACGGTCATTTCAAATCAGTTGAGAAAACACAGTTTAGGAGGAGAACTTTGCACTGGGGAACCACTTTTCTGTGTTGTTGGCGTCCATAAATAATCTGACGTCCAATGGGAACAGGCGACAGCTGGTGGGAGATGTTGGTTTGTCATTAATTACCGTTATCTGACATTTGGAGCGGCCAACAACCAGGGTGGGTCACTCTGTGGGACAATTACAAAGAACTGAATAATTGTTGATACAAATTAGTCAGAGTGTGTGTTAACATTAGCAGGAGTTTTTCTTTTCAAAAGAGGCAGCTTTTACGAACCAATATCTGCTTAAAAGTCACAAAAACTGAGTTTACTGTAAATGTTCTCTGCGTGACATCAGGGAGGAAGGAAGGCCTGTGGGTGTGTGTGTGTGGGTGTGTGCAGGTGTGTTTTATGGGGATGGTCATTTGTGCTCGGGTATAAAAGTGGATCTGGATCCATTCCTGTCAAAGGCTCCTTCACCGGCGTAAACCCTCCTCCTCCAGTTCTCCAGCTGGTAAGATTTATTTTCAGATCCACCGTTCCTGGGAATCCGAAAACGGGGCGCCCTGGGCCGGTCGGGCCCAGTTTGACGTTAAAGGGGGAGAGATTTTACCTCATCTCGGCCGAAAGAGACCCAGGAACGAGGCAGCAGCTGTCTGGTGATAAGCAGAAAAACTCTTTTCATCCCACAGAGAAGTGTTTTTTCTCCTCATCATGGCGGTGACAAACCAACCGGGGAGATTCCAGCCCTCTGAATTCCAGACCGGCCTGTGCGATTTCTGCGACGACTGTGGGACATGTGAGAGACCGTCTTTGCTTTTTCTGTGGAGAAAAGAGAGGAGCATCCTGAGCTCCGTCTAAACCTTGTTCTTCCTGCTTTACTGATGTCACTTTTCTAAAAGTCTGTGATTAAGGAAAGGATCCAAAGTCGTGAATTTAGAGAGATATAAGATTCTTTTTATTAAAAAAAAGGTTTGAGCCATAAAAATTAAACAAAATATGTACATTTTAAGAGATTTTTTCTTCAAAGATTAATAAAAAACTGCATAAGGAAGGTATTTGAAGGGTCAGGCCGAACACGATTGGCGATAGGTTTCAGATAGGAGCCCTTTCCTTTCATGCCTCTCCCCCCGCCGTGCCTCAGGCTGCTACGGGCTCCTCTGCTACCCGTGTATGGGCTGCTCCATCGCCAGCGACATGGACGAGTGCTGCCTGTGTGGCCTGGGCATGCCCATCCGCAGCGTCTACAGGACCAGATACAACATCAACGTAAGCTCTCCGCACATTTACAGTTCAGACGCACAGTTCAGACTGCTCTGAGGCAGGAATCCACACATTTACTTACAATATATTTGATGAAGTTAAAGGAAAAATACTTTGAACTCCATGTGTTTGATCCCAGGTGAATGTTTTACTATTTAATGGTGTGTGAGGAGGCTACTATAACTTTAATTATTTCATCTTAATGTGGTCTCACCATTACAACTAAAACTAACAGGATCATACTACCCAAAAAATCTGATGAGTATATTTTATTTATCTATTTACACACAATACACAATATTTTGTTTTGATTTGTAGATTTTTGGATTAGATTTATTTTGCCTTGTCTTAGTTTGCTTTGTTTGTGTTCTTGATTGACACAAACGATTTTTCTTCTTTGTATGTTAGCATTTGCCTTGTCTTGATTTGTCCTTTAGGTTCCTGTTTTTCTCTGATTGTTTTTTTTATTTAGTTTTGATCTTAGTTTCTTCTGTGCTTTGAGTCATTTGGATATTACTTATAGTTATTCTCAGAGCCCCTGCTCTGTCTGTAGATTTGTGTGGAAAACCAATCCCACCCTCTTTCTGTCCAAAGTTTTCATATATTAGGACACAAAAATGATTTTTTTTTCCCTTAACAGGTTTTAAATTAGGTAAATATGACGTAGCAGGAACAAATTGTTTTGACTAAGTGAACATGAATTAAACCAAAATTGCATTAATCTTGTTTTAGAAAAACCTGGGAAATAACAGAAATAGCAACGTTTGGTATATTTCTCTGCTAATTGATAACTTCTCTGGCTAGTTTCTGATGTTTTTGCTCACATTTTAAAGAATGATAAATGTAATAAACGGGCTTATTGAAGCAGGGAAACGTCTCAAACCTCCAGGACGAGAACTTATCTATTTAGTTCTGCCTCAGAGGTAATAAAAATGGTCTGACCGGTCTGTGTGCTTGCAGGGGTCACTGTGTACGGACTTCATGGTGGTCGGCTGCTGCCCGGTCTGCGCCACCTGCCAGCTGAAGAGAGACATCGACCGCCGCAAGGAGCAGGGCATCTTCTGAGCCCAGGAGCTCCACGTAAGGACCCAGCAGCCTCTGTGTGCGTGCGCGGGGATCCCAAAACGATGTTCAATGATTTGCCAACTTTATATATGTGGCAGATGCCGGCGTGACCTCAGGATGATGTGATGTTCTCCAGCTCCCACCAAACGCCCTCGTTTGAGGAAGCCACTTTTTTTTTTACGGCTTCCAGTCAGTTGATCATTACTCAGCCTCAGAGCGGCCGTCGCCTTGATTTATCGCCTGTCGTCGTATTTAATCTGGATCATCCGAAGCAGATGACAGGATGTGGGGAAATGGGCTGATTAACACATCTCAGATAGGCCTTTTGCTCTCTTTTGTTCCCAGCACTTAAACTTCCTCACATTTATGAACACTTCCCAGATGAATTTTCTTGTTCGTCAACACCAGCTTGAATCAATCATCTCGGTGGTGTAAAATGTGCTTTAACTGATCATTTATGCTTCAATAAAATGTTTTATGTCATAAAACTAGAATCATTTTTGTGTTTTTTTGCACTTTAAAGACATGTATAGATATTTACATATTTATATGAACCCTTTTATTAATCTTTTAGGTGAACCAACAACTTTTAAACTTGCTGCCAATAAGTTAAAAATGACTTTTTCTAACATTTTAATAAACATCCCTGTTCTGTAAACTTGGTATTCTCAGCCTCCTTTTAACTATAATGCTTTCTCCTAAGAGGGATTTATCATTTGAAAAATAGGGGAACTGGTTTGTGTTTCTACCTGATACTCAATTTAGCTTTTTTTACATTCTTATTTGGCAAATGTAATCTAACTTTACTTTAAAATCACATAGGTACCAAAGTACTGGATTCAGGAATAGAAATATGTCACACCAGCCCCTCTCGGTTCTGGTTCTGATGGAACTTTCTACATGTTCAAAGTTCTTCTCTTTCCACAGTTGCCTTGTTCAGTCGCAGGACGGGGGATTGTCTCACAAATAAATTGATTTTGTTTTTAACTGAGCCCTGAAATAGAAACAAAGCCAGTGCAGTGGAGCTAAAAAATCTGACACCAACATACAAAGAATTACAGAAATCAAGGGGAAGATTTAACAAAGACAGAAGGTTTCTAAATGTACGGAAACATTTTCCAGGTATGAGTGAGATGAGGGCATCCCCTCAGAACACACCCTTTTGAGACAGGGTCCGGCAGTAAACACGAATGGCTGACAGTCGTGAGTAACCGAAACAGATCCAGAAAGCAAACCAATAAAAACCATTCGAGATAACACAGAAAAGACATGGAAAGTATTACCCATTTAAAGCTGGAGAGAACTACTCATAGGCATAGTGAGGTCCTCCCACAGCCAATAAACACTTTGGACTGTGTGAATTCATCTCAGCACTGTGTGTCATTGAGGTGTGTGAGCCAACTCCTCCTTTGTCAATAGAAACTTTACTCATTTAGTCTGTAGCAATCAAAACCTTTTATTGTTATGTTTCATACAGAGTGCCTAAAGATTACAAACTGGACCATTAAACTTAAGGTGAACTCTGTGTGGTTAGTGTGCAAGGGGTCAGTCACCTGATTTTCTCTTTGGGCTCCATTTGTGGGAGTAAACAAGCTCTCTGGCTCCCCCTACAGCTGTGGGGTGTAACACCAGTCATGGAGCCTCGTTCCTATGGGAGAACCACACATTTACAAGCCAACAAACTCATTTGCGGTCATGCTGAACAACCCCCAAAAAAAGCCAGGCGACCATAAAGCAAAGCGGTGTGGAGCAAAGCCGGATCTGTATCTGTATCTCAGCCCACAGCGAAGCTTCATTTTCCTCAAACTGAGTCAAAAGCAGCAGTTTTAGGGTTGACAAACATCCCCGACGTGGCTTTAATGCGCGTCCAATATAGGTCATGAAATAAAGAAGGAAGAAGCAGACAGGTTGCATTCAGCTCGTTCCAGATGACAAAAGAATGAAAGTCAGTGTTGCTTCTCAGCTTTAAATTTATTTCTCTTCGGTGAAAATTCATGTGCACACCTAGAGGTTTACATGACTGCCATTCAAGAACCACGGGACAGATAAACGTGTCGTTTCTCAGCCGAAAACAGGTGAACGTGTTGCAACTCAGAAGCTGAAACGGACCAGTCGTGTGTCTTCATTTTGACCTCATCGCTTGTCAAGTTATTCCGTCCAAATGTTAAACATGTAAACATAATGAAGTCACACAATTACCCACATTCACAGCCCTGTTGTCATCATATCCATGCCACAATGGAGCAAGATTTAAGAAAAAACAAACAAAAAAACAGGTGCTGAAAATTCAGCCAAACGGGACATATTTCTGGTTCTGTTACTGTAGTCGGGACATTTCTGAGCAGGAAGACAGAAATTCAGGACTAGCTGAGGGAACAGCTCATTTATTGGGTCATCTGGGCCTCCAAAGCTTGCGCCGCCCACTCCGGAGCAGCCGTTCGGATCTTTTCTAGGAGGTTGTTGACTTGAAAACACAGAGACTGGATCTGTTTGTCCCACGTTGGAAGGGCTTCGCGTGCTGCCAGCAAATAGAACGAAAGATCAGAGGGAGCAAAACAGAACCAAGACATCTGAACAACTATTTGAGCTTCGACGGGTCTTAGTATAACACAATGGAGTAAAAAAAGTTTAAATCTTCTGTTTTATCTCATTCACATCATAATAAAACATTCCTTCTGAGATATTTAAATACTCTGTATTATTCAAGCTTTATTACTTATTTCTCCAAGAATATGTTGCCCAATGAAGGGTAAAATAAATAAATAGAAACATCTAGACTGTGAAAGATAACATGTTTTCTTTGATAAGCTTTTGCTTTAACTTTACTTAAAGATTTTTAAAAGGGAATCATTTGCTTAGATTAGAAAGTTCATGTGGTTTTGTGGCCAGAAGGGGGCAGCCTCTTCAAGCACCTTCTAAAGCTAAAAATTCAGATGTTGGATGAAACAATGTGGCCGCATTTACTCTTACCAAAAAGTTTCCAATGCCAGATTTATTTAAACACTTTAAGAGACACAACGTGTAAAAGTAAGAAGATTATATCTGTGTGGAAAGTGGAGTGTGCACTGACTTTCAAAGTGAACGATGCCATCGATCTGGTCAATGAAGCCGTTCATGCGTCCCTCGGTGATCATCTGTGAGGCGATCTTCTCAGCCTGAGGGTCGAACAAGAGGGGCGCGTTTAAGACCTAAACTCTCAATATTCTAGCGATATTCTATCACTCTCTTCTGAGTGATGGAATATCACAAAATATAAATACACCTTCGCCGGGGGGATTTCCAACAGGGCTCCTAGTTCCTCAAAGGTGATGTTGTTGTAGAGCTTGCTGGCAGACAGCAGGTTGTGTTCAATCACAGCTCTGTCCAGGATGCTGGAGCCTGTCAGAGAAAGAAAAACAAGCTCTTTGTGGCTCGCTTAAAAAATATCTAAAGAGCAAAGCGAGTTTAAGCTAGTTTCATTAACTAAACTGTGCTTTTTCAGGACGTGTTGCTGTGAATATGTTTAATTTGAATTGAGTGAAACAGCTATTTCGTGTCACATGTGACCAGAAATCAAATGAAAGATGGGAACAGACCCTCTTTGATGTGGCTCCATAATGCCACCGCTTCTCTTTAAGCGTGTGTCCGTGTGTCAGAGTGTTGGTGCTTCTCACCGTCTGCTGTGGTGGCTTTCTGGTGGGGCATCAGCATGGCGGCGAACTCCTGCAGCTGGTTTCCCCTGATGATGCGGTCCAGGTACATCTTCTCCAGGATGCCGTACGCGGCCAGCTGCTGGCAGCGCTCGTCCTTGAAGAGGGTGGCCAGCATGCGGGAGCGCTGCTGCCCTGAAACACACCACGCCGTGCCTAAAGTGAGACGGGGAGCGGGCGCTTTGTTTTTTCTGAAAGCAGGAAGCGCGCCGGCGGCCGGTACCTGCGGAGGCCAGTATCGTGCAGTTCAGGGCATGTTTCAGGGCCTCCAGACGCTCGGTTTCATGGACGATGGACTTATAAGACAGCTCGTTGTATCTCTGCGCCGCCTCGATGAACTTCCTCCTGAAATCTAACACTCTGGCATAGCAGACCTGAGAGGGAGGAGAGGGTCAGGCGGCAGCACGCTGGGGGCTTTGGGAATGAGAATGGTTAAGCACCTTGTAGTGGATCTGCAGCTGTTCGTTGGAGGACTCGTTCTGAAGCAAAGAGGCTCTGTTGATGTATGCCTCTGCCTGCACGGGGTCATCATCCTCTAAGTAGAGCCGGGCGATTTTTAGGTAGGTGTCCAACTTATAGTCAACGTTATATTGCCTGTGGGGGGAATAAGTGTTGTTTAAAGATGTGGAAATCCTCCAGGATAAAGACATAAATCCAACCACAGCTTGCTTACTTCTGTCCTGTTTCCAAGGGAATGCCAACTAAAACCTGGGCCGCATTCCTCCAGTCGCCCTCCTTTTCGTAAATGGTCGCTAAGTGCTGCCTGATTGAAGCTACCTGAGGACGATGAATGGGAGAACTCAGGTAGAACGAGAATGGCACAGACTACATTAACGGCAGACTCAGTTTTTCTACCTGTTCCTCGAAGGAGATGACCCTGGGCTGAATCTTCTCCAGGGTGAAGTGGTACACGGCTTTAGCCGTGGCGTCTGGCAGGTTGGGCAGGTGTGTGCAGAAGTCAGTGAGCAGCTGCCTCGAGATGACAAGACTGACGTTTTCATTGACCACTGCAAGAGAGTAAAACCTTAAAGTAAGACAACCTGAAGACATCAGAATGCAGACATTTAGTGAAACAGGCTGATGAACTGAAAAGGACATTGGTGTTTCATACTTGCTTCGACAAAGGCCTTCAAGGATTCCAGCTGATCCGCATCTGTAAACTGAATGGCCTTATCCAAAATCTGTCGGTATCTACAGAAGAGTTTACTCGTTAGAAATCATGCATGTCATTTTGTGAAACCTTACGTATGCAGAAAGCTGCTCAAATTTAGTTTGTTTAAGCATTGCTCAGCTCCAAAAGAGACAGAACACGTTGGTAAAATTTAACTTGTTATGAGTTATGACTTGTAAATGCTGAGAAATTGAGACCTAGATGAGTAACTTGCCAAGGACATAACATAAAACTCTTTTAATTTCCCTTTGCAAATATTATCATATAAAATATATATTTCTTATATCATCAACGTATATTAAATTAGGACAGAAAAATCTAAACCAATGCCAAGAAAACTATATCTGTCAGAATTTATTCACTAACTGATCTACTGTGCAGTTATTTAAAGATTCATTGAGTGGGTATTAAATCCAGAACATGAATACAGACATATGTAATAGGCAAATATTCTGACTGGGAATATCAGACCATGAAATGTTAACTATGACAGGGAAATCTATTTGTATTCCAATGAACTGCACGTGAATAAATTCCTAAAATACACTGTATAACACACGGCCAGTCTGATGTAATGATTGTGTTGTTACAGGAAACATTAATTTCCAGTTGTTTGACAAGCGTCAATGAGAAGCTAACAAACATGGTTAGCTTACAAGTTAGCAAGCATTACATGAAATCAGCAGCCACGTTGCGTTGTCTATTTGATTACAAATTATTTTTAGAGCCAGTGAAACATATAATCCCACAATAAAAACGCGCTGAATGGCTCCACGGTTTAACCGGCCAGCTTGACCGATGTGTGCTAACTTAGCTACTTAGCTAACGTTTAGCTTAGCTAGCTCCATCAGAGCTGCGCTCCGAACAGGAAAACACAAAGTTTTTAATAATAACCTCAAATCATTTTTAGAATGAGCGGTACATACTTGGCAGCAAGATCTTTGTGAGATCCAGTTGAATTCATCAGCTGTGCAAGCTCCTGTCTCACTTCGGCCGCCATTGTTGCCTGAGTCGAAGTGTCAACAACGCCGGTTTCCTCTGCCAGGAGGTGGTGGGTCCTCCCGCGGGTCAGCGCGTTCCAGAGGCCACGCAGAGCGGGAGCGCGCACGTTGCCAGTTTCCCTGTTAACTAAAGCCGTTTGCGGCCTTACGCTGAGCTAAAATATAATATACATATTGGATATCTGGAAAACCACATCTACTTTTCAGGATCTGGTTATTATGGACACAGAGTACATGTTAAATTTTTATTACAGTAACAGAGTTATAGGCTTTAATAGCTGAAAACACTCAGTATTAAAAGTACAGACGCTGGTTTGGTGCTTCCTTTTATTCTAAACATCAGGAGTAAAAGTGTAATCATCACTTTAAAAGTTACGTACGTTTTTTGTGACTATTTATTTCCAATGTGTGTGTGAATGGGTGAATAAGGTGCATTAACTTAAAGCACTTTGTGGAAAAGCGCTTTATGGAGTTCAATCCGTTTTATTTTATTAGTTTACGAGCAGTTCTGCCACATCCAAGATGGCGGACTCGTTGACGTATCGCTGCAACGGACCAACAACGGTACGGAGCTACCGGGGTCAGGAGTGGGGCTACCGGGCTACCGGGCAACCGGGGGCCGGTATGGGGGGGGCCAGTAGGGGGCTACCGGTACGGAGCTACCGGGGGCCGGAGGGGGCTACCGGTAAGGGGCTACCGGGCTACCGGGCTACCAGGGGCCGGAGGGGGACTACCGGTAGGGTGCTGGGGGCCTCATATATCTATTCAGATTATTATATCTGAATAGTAATATATAATAAAGATACAATTAACCATTTAAATGAGCAGTGTCAGCTGAAGTAGCACTATATGTATTTGTGGCCCTCGTTATTTATTTATTTTTTTCAGGCGTAGCTTTATTCTTTTATCTGTTGTTAGATATCTGTGTGAATACATTTGGGGAACATCACTGAGCGGCTGAAGGCCACGGCTAAGCTGTGTACTGTACCTTTAAGATACGCGTCAAAGTGACGTAGTACGCGGAGGGCGTGGCCGGCCTGTGAAATGTCAGGGAGGAATGGCGCTCGGCGCGGTATTTTGAACAATCGCTTTTTCCTTTCCCTGTTTTATCTGGAAACGCTGCCCAGCGTTAAAATCTCGGGTAAGCACAACAACGTTTCGGAACATTATGCACTTTGCTACTCTGTTTCCAGCAGAAAGACGCACAGTACTGAAAGTGTCCGGTGTTAATATATAACGTTGTGCTAGCTAGTGCTGGTTAGCAAGCTCAGCAACTTTGCTAGTACAGTTGTCCTGCCCGCCGGGGTGGCTTTGATGAGGCTGCTGTTGCTGATGATACCCGGTGAGCAACTGGACCCCCCCTGAAACTGAGAATAGACTTTGTTACGTGTTCTGAGACTAATTTGGCATAATAAAAACAGGAGCTTCTCTGCGATGGTGAACACATATTCTGTCAACTGCCGGCTAACTTAACTTAGAAAGCTTTCTTTAGCCGGACAATAACTTGTTTTGACGGAATGAAAAAGCGGTTGTTCTTCTTTCTATGTATACTGCCAGTAATTACAACACACAAATCGCCAGTTCCCTGTTAACTGAAGCTGTTTACGGCCTTATTAAGATGTGTGGCACACGATGCTATTAATGTGACGTTTTTATAGTTTATGTGCTGACCATGACTTCAGGTGAGCGGTTAAAAATCGAAAAGACATGATTATTAACTGATCAGGACGAGAAAATGCAGCCTAAAAGTGCTTGTGGATGAGGCCGTTTTTGACAAAGCACTGGGGAAACTGCGTTAACTGCAGTTTGACGGACCAAATGTTTCAATCCGCAGGGATATCTCGGGTGACAGCAGAAATTCTTGAAAGCTAGCATTGTTTACGCTGTCAGAATCCCTGGAAGAGTTTGTTACTTGGTCGTGGGGCTCGTGCTCGCCTCTCATCTCAAGCCCTCGCGCAGAAGCTTTGACGTTGTGCCAATTAACGTCCTCATTAATTGCCCCTTACCAATTGTGGTAATATCTAACGCGTTCTTCCATTCAGAGTAGCTCCGGGTTAGCCGGAGAGCTAACCGAGTTGATGACGAGGTAAAAATGGCGGATCTTTCGAAATCCAACCCCGGCCTGAAATAGTAACGCTGCCAGCAAACAGCCCGCAGCTTTTTCCCCACTTTTTTTTTTTTGCTGGGCCCCAGGGGAGAGCACTTCTGTGGGTGCCGTGGACGTGGAAAAGGCGGCTGGGGGCAGGTCGTGGTGGCCGTTTTCATTCGTGAAAAGGGTTCAGACTAGTCGGTAGTGTGTGTGTGTGTCAGCGGTGGGAGGTGGGAAGGGTTCATATGTGCGTTTCGGTGGATTAATGTTAAGTAGAGAGCAGCAGGACAAAGATATACGCCGGCACAGGGACAGTGCGGCCTAGTTAACCCACCATCAGCTGTCAGCCTTTGTCAAAACCAGACGTGGCACGCGCACACATCTCTGTGCTGATTACATCTCCCGTGATTTAGTCCTGGGGACAGTCGAACAGGTCGAGTTATCAAAGCGGACATTTTTTTCTCGACTGGCACACTTTGTTTATGTTAGCTGCAAAGGCTTCTGGGAACAGACTGCGTTATTATCCCCTTATCCGGTATAATCAGAGTTTAGAACAGATTCATATTCAAGACTAATCCTGCTTCACAAAAGGGATGTCTTGTAGAAAAATAAAATGAAATGATTTGGGGGATTACATGCATATAAAGGCAAAATAGAGAACTAAATCAAGATAAAAATGATCGTAAAGGACTTACTAAGAGCAAATGTGAACTGAAATGTCTACAACTATAGCTGGAGGGGGCACATGCCCTCATGCAGCTGCCCCACAGCTGCAATCAGGTTTATCAGAGGATCTAAGATGGACATCTCAAACTTTGGGCCCATTAGGGCTGTTGTCCTTTCAGGCTTTAGATGTTTCAATTTGCAGATGTGTGCATAAATCAATGATCTATTCAGTCTAAATCAGGTGTAAATCTAACACCTGCAGCACAGCGGCCCAAAGAGGTTCGTTCTTCTGAAGAAAGTTATTAGGCGTCCTTCATTTTACATCCAGAAAATGAGAAGATTTGTGTGTCAAGTTCACTTATTTCTAGTTTATTAAACAAACATATAAAACACAGATGATTAAATGCTCTAATTAGTTGTCTTTGACTGTTTATCATTTATAGTAATGCTTCTTTTTACTGTGAATTCCCCTATTTAAATTCAGTCTTTTAAATTCTGTTAAATAGACTTAATTTGGATGACATTATGAAGTAGTTGCCTTGTTCTCTCAGGATTAACAGAGACCTGAGACATTGTCAGCATGGATGTGGTGTCACCAGAGCTGAACAGCCTCCTTCCTGATGAAATCATGGATACCGAGGCCATAGAGGACGTCCCTCACTCCCAGTCCGACGGCACCACAGTCCAGTCGGAGCAGAGCCTCGACGCGTCGGTGCCCATGGAAACGGACGCATCGGAGAGCGCGATCGTTTGTCCGGACGCAGCCTCGGCGGAGCTCTCACAGACTCTGGTCCCCTCCACAGCCACAGACTCCACCCTCAGCTCAGGAAGTCAGCCCTCCATCTTAGTCTCCTCCGCCTCGTCGCCCCTCCTTACCCTAAAACCAGTACTGGCCACTTCAACGGCCACAACCAAAACCACGGACAGTGTGAGTGGGACCAGTGTTTCCACGAGCGGCTTGCAAAAGCTCACCGCCCCCTTCACCATCTCCCCCGCCAACCACCAGATCATTCTCAACAAGGTGGCCTCGTCTCAGGCCACAGAAGCAGCCATATCCCAGTCCCAGCTCATCAAGCAGGACGGACAAAAGCTTTTGCTCACAGCAATCGGGAAGTCGGGGCAGCCCTTTGTGCTCCAGATACCCCACACAGGCAGCAAAGCCGGGCTTCCACAGGCTTCAGGGGACGCCAAGGGGCAAGCCCCGCAGTTTAAGGTGGTGACCATCGGCGGGCGGTCGGAGCTGAAGCCGATGGTGGGCAGCTCCGGGAACCAGGTGACAACGTTACAGGCCCAGCAGCTGAAGACTGTACAGGTTTGTGTTGGCAGAGCAGCAAAATGGCCGTAACACAGACTGAGTTCCATAAAAACTGCTCCGAGGGCTCGTTCCTGTCAGTCTGACTGCGCACGATGAGACTCAAAGCTTTGTTATGGAGCAATACTGACTCTTTGATCATCGGCCGGGCTTAGACTCAATTTTAGCTGTTTTGTTTACTAGTAACTGTTTAGAATAAATTGTAAGATTATTCACTTTATACTCTGAAGGAAGAAAGAAAATCTTTGTGAGAGATATTAGGTAGAAATGTAGTCAAATAACAAGAAAACTAAAATTTTGATATTAGAAATAGTTTTATGGCATTTTTTTGTTGTTTAGATTTCTGAAAATGAAGGTCTGACATTGAAGTCTGGACAGACGAGTTAAATCAGCATTAACTCTGTAGAAAAACAAAACAAGGAAACAAGTAGTGGTGTGTCCAAAATTGAATATGTTAATGTTTTTCTATCCATAAATGCATAGATTCCCAAGAAACCGCCAGCATCCTCAGCAGCTCCGATCAAGTTTATCATCACAAAAACAGTCAACAGCAAAGGGCTAAACCCGCAGACCTCCGTCACTCCTGTAATAGCAGGTAAGCTCGTTCAGACCTGCAGAGGGAAAGAGATATCGCTGAGAAAAAGATAAACCTGCTAAAAATGCACCAATTAAATGTGTATGGATTTTTATTTCTACTCTTATTTAAGCCTATAGTTACCCGTGTCTTGATTTATTTAGTTTATTACATTATGTTTGTGAACTATTTGTTTTAATCAGCTTTTTTTTAGATTTGATTTAAAGAAGGGATAAATAAATCTTGCACTTTTTTTAATCAAACAGTGCTATTCGATTATTTGATTAATAGTAATAATAATCATGCATAGTTATGCAATAGTGCATTAATAATTAGTGAATTGATTTGATTGGTGAAAGCATATTTCGGATTATAAAGCATCACACAGGAATGCAGGTATATCTGCTACAGGTATATTACAGGTATATCTGCTGTCTTTTAGCGCCGTGCCCGCACGCCGCCGTGTCGGTCATAAAGTGAATGAAACCCTCGCCTTTTAAAAGCTTTCCGTCTCTAACGTGGCTCCGGTTTGCAGGTCGGGTCCTAACGCAGACATCACCAGTGATGTCCACGAGGACCATCACTCTCTCTGAGCCTCACAACACCACACTACAAAGCATACCCGGAAAAAAGATCGCCATATCGCCCCTCAAGACCCCCAGCAAGGTGAGCCTGAAGCGCCGTCGCCAGTAAAGGGTTCGTTTTCTACACGTCAGATAGTTTTATGTTCAGGTTTGCAACCAAAGCTGAGGGGAAAAGCTCAGTTTTCACCTTTTTCTGCTACTGATTTCAAACCAAATTCCCTCGAAACCAACAAAACTGTCTTGTGTTCAGAACATAACATAAATAACCAGAAATAATAATCTTCTTTGCTTTTTAAAAATCTTTTAGAAAAACTGAGAATTTGAAAATGCGATGATGTCAATAACAAGTGCATTATAGTGTAAAAATAAGTAATTTGGGCTGAGGAGCTTCTACATACTGGTGTATTGACCCTTACGGGAACATATGGAGTCAATCTGGTGCCACAAATGTGTGAGTCTCTCAGTATTTGGGGATCAGATCAGAGGTGATGGATGCAGTGTGAATCCACCGGCTGGGAATTTGCTGCCGTTCTGGTCCTTTGATGGCATTATAGCTCTTTTTACTTTCTGTGGTCATGTTGCCTCGTTGGCTTTTAGACATTAATGCCAGAAACTGCATATTTTCTCATTCTGGTTTCTCCCTGTTTGTTTATTTGTATGTTTGTTCCAGGTGACGGTGGTTTCCGTGGCCTCTCCGCCCTCCAACGCCCCCCAGAAGTCTGTAGCACTGCCTGTTAATGTAGCCCTCGGCCAGCAGATCCTCACAGTCCAGCAGCCCACATCTGCCTCCCCGGTCAAGGTGGCCGCCAATCAGAGCCCGGCGCAGGTGAGCCCACGGGCGGCGTCCTGCCTCAGAAAAGACGGGTTTCAGTGTGTCTGTTCAGAGCTTTGTGCGTGTGTGTGTGTGTGTGTTCAAAGCTTTGTGTGTGTGTGTGTGTGTGTGTGTGTGAGTGTGAAGAGCCTGTGTGTCAGAGTGAGTGTTTGTCGGGTTCGGACTCTGAGCCCCGGCTCTTTTTTCTTTTATCTGACCGCTGTCAGAGTATGAAACCTGTGCAGTCGGTGGTGGTGGGAGGAGTGGGCGGCTCCCAGTTCAAGAACATCATCCCTCTGGCCGCGCAGCCCAACGTCCAGCAGATCCAGGTGCCGGGCAGCAGGTTCCACTACGTCCGGCTGGTCACGGCCACCACGGCCAGCAGCACGGGGCAGCCCGCCGGGCCCAGCACCAGCTCGGTCCAGACAGGTGAGGGCAACCCCCCCGACCCCCTAACAGCCCAACAGACCGTCCTCTATTAAAGGCCCATCATCTGCCAGTGGTCATCAATCTGTACAACGCCTCCCTCAGAGTCAAACACCCCCCCTCTGTAAATTCAAACTAAATTATTGATATTATCACCATCACTTATTTTAGACCTATATTCTGTATAACACCTTCCTCAGAGTCAAACCCCCCCCTTTGTAAACTCTAACTAAATTATTGATATTATCACTGTCACTTATTTTAGACCTAAATATATACATATAGTTACTTGTGTATATTTTTATTTACATTCTGTGTGGAATTTTGGAAATATATATATATGTATGTGTGTATGCTGTTGTTTTATCTCTGGAGTTAGTAACAAAAATAATTTCCCTCTGGGATTATTAAAGTATTTCTGATTCTGATCTGTGTGGCAGGTAAACCCATGGTGGTCAGCACGGGCGCGGTCAGGATGTCGGTCCCCGTCATGCAGGCGCAGACTATGAAACAGGTCAGCGTCCAGTTCAGGACCTCTAAAGTCCAGATCTAAGCTATGGGCAGCCAACCCTGACTACCAGCTTCATCAAGTCTTAGAGGTAGAGGGGGGGGTCTGGTCCTACAGGGCCTGATACCCTCCCGCTCTGAATTCCAAACTAAGGAAGCAGTTTTTCCTTGCCTGTGTCGCCTAGTGCTTGCTCATGGTGGGAATTGTTGGGTTTCTGTAGTTAACTTCAGAGTAGGGTCTGACCTGCTCTGTTTGGAAAGCGCTGTGAGACAACTGTTGTTGTGATGTGGCGCTATACAAATAAAATTGAATT